AAAAATCATGCAATTTATTGAAAACAAAGTCCACTCACAAGTAGTCCCAAGCTGCGTGACCCTGAGAGGGTCCTGCCTGCTGTGAAGGCGGAGTCGGATCACCTATTTCAAAATAGGAACACGATAATAAAAATCCAACTCTTCAAAAATAAGACTTTAAAGAAAAATCCTAATTTCCCGGGTTTCCCTTAAGTACTAGGAACGAGACGTCCCTAAGGTCCAAACTCAGGGTTTCAAGCGCTGGAAAAGTCTCGGAAGACACCCGGTCAACCGGACGGTCAAAACTTTAAATTAATGAATCGGAACATCCGGGACTCCGATTCGTGATCCGCGAATTCCTATACGACCCTAGGAATACCAGGAACAACATACGTGAAATTGGATTTGATCCAACGGTCCAAACACATCAAACCCGAAAATCACATATTAGGTAAAATTTGTTCGAGGTCCATACGATATCCAAATTGAGATCCGTAAACTCCTACGCGCTCGTGACAACACAAGGATCATTCTAGGATAAAGTATGACCTCTGCAGGACTGCCCACGAGCCGCCCCACGCGCTGCCGCGCGTGGGTGGCTTAATCACAATTCCGGTGACCGGAAAAACTTAGTATTTTGGCTCCAAACTCCTAACCTAGGTAATACACCTAATTTGGAACCACTTTTCTTCTTGGGTGAAGACCAGAAAATGGCCGGAAGTGGCCGGAAATTTCGACTGAAAACCGGCTGTAGCTAAACTTCGAAATTTAACTTGTAAACTCTCAAAATTTCGGGAAACCTATCCAACAGGCAGCTAGAGCATGAAAAATAGATGAAATTTCATACCTCACTCGTCCAATTTGGTTGAGAAACGAAGGAGAACGAAGGTGTTGAAGTTCCACGATTTTCCGGCCTGTTTTCTGCGATTTCCGGCGGCTGTCGACGACTCCAGGTGCGGTGCTGGCCGGGGAAGAGAGAGGAGGAGGTGGCGGTTCGATCGAGTCCGGTCTCGTGCGCTGCCGTGGCCGGTGGCCTGAGTTGCAGAGGGAGGAAGGGAGAGCGACGGGGTCGGGGAGAGAGAGAGACTCACGGGAGAGAGAAAGAGAAATGAGAGAAATAAAATCTGAAAAATCTGATTTTATTAAAATGAAATTCTGAAAATTTCCAATTAGGCCCTTAATGGTTTTTCGACCATAACTTCTTCGTTTCAAATCCGAATCGAGCCTACCGCGTGTCTACGGACTCGGCTCAGTACCATCTTCCTAAAAACACCACTTGCTGCCCCAAACTCTCTCCGGATAAAAAATTGACCTTTTTGCCCCCACTTCAAAGGCAAAATTGGAAATTCCAAATTTTAATTTAATTAAAATCCAAACTTAATAATATTTTGGGTCGGGATGTTACAATACACGTTGGGATCGGGACTCGAGAAATCGCGTTTTGGATTAGTTGCTACAACCCGTAGGAAAGGCCAGATCGAAAAGGGAGAAAGAGAATCCAAGGGGTAGATGGAAGATGGTAGGAAAAAATTAGGTTTAGAGAGAGGTTGATGGAGAATTGGGAACACATACTAAAATGAGACGTATAACCTCAGATCCTCCCATAAGAGTGGGGAGAAATCACCAAAGAATGCAAAGAGAGAGGGAATGGTGGGAATGGTGGGAATGGTTGAGCACTGGTAGAGGGAAGAGAGAGGAGAGAAGAGAAGGTTGAGAGAAGAGGAGAAGAGAAAGGAGGACATTGAGAGGACAGGAGAGGGGTTCTCCTCCTTGATGATAAAGCTACGGGTGGGTTTTTCCTAGGTTAGTCAAGCGCTGGGAGAGAGAGTTGAGAACGTCTTGGGTCACAATCAGTTCTTCCTCTTTTGTTTAACTTTGGGATTTATGAACATTTGTTGTATGTCTTTTGAGTTTGAATAGTGTAGATGATGAGATTAATCTTCAATTATTTTTAAATTTGAAATTCAGAACAATTATATTATTGTAATGAATGAATATATTATTAATCAATATGAAATGATAGTATGAAATGGGCCAAAATGAATAGTTAATGTAGCATTAACTAATTAACCGGTTAGCGCTTGAACGACTGAATAAAACAAGAACCCTCTAATAATTTTTTAAAATTTTGTGAATGGCTCCCTCTAATGTGAAATCCTAGCTTCGCCACTGGGCCCCTATATTGAGCATAGTGAAGCTCCCTTTTATTTTTTACACACCCTTGGTCTGGGGCATGATACTGACATGGAATATTATAGGAAAGTTGAGCAAATGATAGCGTTTGCATACGCTGACTTTAAATCAAGTAACAAAATGAACCTCTTTTGTGTCCGAGAAGAAACGAATGAATTAAACTAATCAACCTAATTGACCGTAAACCAGGTTCTCTAGTTAGGAAACAAACAGAACAATTAAAGCATTCTAAATTAGAAAAGCGTATGTGTGTTGAGTATACGGTATCTCTCGCCCGTTTGACCTTCCTGATCCTTTTGCGGTTGCTTGTGTTGGAATGCTGTATGAGTTGAACTGCTTTGCTAGTTCATCAAATGCTGTCTGAGTTGAACTGCTTTGCTAGTTCCTGTGTGTCAAGTACTTTACGAATAAAATTATCGCAAAAAGCATTCTGCAAGAGATAGAGATTTTTGTCAACGACCAACAGAAGATTATCGAGTGTTCAACTTGTTATACTACATGCCAAAATCATAGAACTTACTCGGCAAACCCAAGAGTGAGGGAAAACTGCCACTCTTTCTGGTTAAGCGCCACTGTGGAGAACGCTTTCCCTAGAAACTCAATGACGATAAACTGAAGAACACAGAAAACTAAGTGTCATCAAATGCAAAATTCGTCAAGACGACAAGTGACCAGAAAGGAAAAACAAAAACAAACAAAAAAAGAAGAAAACAAACTAAATATTTCTAACCTGACTTACGAGAATTGTTCCCGCTATTCCCATAAAGAGATAGTTTGAAGTAATCCACTTCTTAGGCTTCGATAATATACCCTTCTTTCGAGCTTCCACTTGATGGATAATCTATCATTTGAAAAATTCAGATTCATTGAAATCATAATGTAACATAATCTCATTCAAATCTGGAAGGGCACATGAAGGGCTATGGCTCTTTTCTTCTTTTGATAAGACAGGAGAAACGCGATTCGAACTTTGAACTTATTCCAGGATTGGGAAGAGAAGTAGGAGGACTACACTAATAGCTAGGTATGTTTCCAAGTGCGCTAATTAATGAAAAATCATGCTCGAACTTTAGACCAAAACTAACTATTCAATTGAAACAGCCATATCAACTTTGTCATTTCACATGCTAGACAAAACGGGGAAGCTAATTAATCATCTCATATTGCTGGGATCCTAGTAAAACTATTTTCTTATGATTGATGAGTTAAGACTAATTAACTTACTTGACAAACAACAAATGTGTTAAATATCATTGTGTTCTTTACTTTGATGGCATGACCGCGGTTATAACTTTTCAGTAAACTCCGTCCTTGAAAATTGATGATAAGAATGGCAACAATTTGGTACATGCCCTGAAATTTCCAAACCAAATTTAGAATGACAAATTATGAGGAAGACAACTGGAATGCGAAAAATATATGTAAGAAAACTACATGGATTGATCTAATACTACTTTTGGGTAGCATGAAATCAAGAGAAAACATCCATTTACCTGAAAAACCAGTCTCTTCCACTTTACATATCTTTTAAGAGGTTGTCTGTAAAACATTGTCCCATTAGAACATCAAATTTATGCCAGCCAACAATTTGGTTTAACTAGCTAGCAACCTCAAAATTCAAGAGATATGGGCCTACTGGAAGTAAGCATTTTGATCAAAATAAGAACTAACAGAACATAACTATGTCAGCAGAAGTGAAGGTCATCACCATGGATCATGAAAATTTCATGGTTAGGTATTTATAAATTAATCAGATATGTCCATCATCAAAGAAATGTTACCCGGGTTTGACAAGATGTCCCAGCATCAGTTCATCTGCTGGAGGTTTAGTAACCAATGATAGTGGTACAAGAGCTACTATGATTAGGTTCACCCAGAGAACCTGTACAGAGCACAAGCAGAAAAGAATCCTTAATTAGGTGCATCCTCACCTAAAGACTTAATAATTGAACAACCTGATCCTAAATCACAACTGCAATTCTTCTAGTAACAAGTAGAGAGAAAGGGAGCAGCAAAACAGAGAGAGAGAGACTTACCTGAACAGCATTTAATGGGACATGTCCATAGAAAACTGCCGCCATAAAATTGGTAGTTAGTGCTACAACATTGACTGTAAGCTGCAACTGCATAAACTTGATAATATTTGCATGTACTGATCGGCCCCATTTAAAAGCCTACATCCATTAAACCAATTCCAATGTTATATAATGATCAGCATTAACTATTTTCAATTGACAACAAAATTAAAACAATTTCAGTTCAAGCATATGACAAGATTATGTTGGGATCTATCTTACAAAAACAAACCTTTACACACGTAGCAAAACTGTCATCCAAGATAATTATATCCGAACTCTCTTTAGCAACTTCAGTCCCTCGGATATCCATAGCAAGACCAATGTCCGCCTAGGCAAGATCAAAAGTAACCGAAAATCCAAGCAAAAACCATTAAAACGCAAGATCACTTGGGGAGGGAGGGAAGAGCCAACCAAAAAATAAGAAATAAAAAGGTTCTCAAACCTGTTGTAGTGCATGAGCATCTTCGGTGACATATCCAGTGACAGCAACCATCTCTCCGCTTTGCTTCAGTGCTTGCACAAACAAAAGCTTGACATCGGGGGAACACCATGCCATGACCTACATAATAATCGAAAGTTGAGTCTGATATTGTTTTTATTTGGGGAGGGGGATTCGAACCTAGGCCTGTACGTAACATCTTCCAACAAAGTGAAAATAAATACTACCAAACTAGTAATTATATTCGAACCTAGGCCTGTAATATCTTCCAATAAAGTGAAAAGAAATACCACCGAACTAGTAACTATTTTCTAGTTCTTATTAATAAAAATTCTCGCTGACATCAAAATTCCTATGATCAGTAGAGAAGTACATTCTAAATCAAGAATACCTTAATCCTCTTAGCACATTCTTGTCTTTGCCTATCATCAGTCAGTTCCCCAAACTCTCTTCCGTCAAAGAGATGATTTGGCATAGTAGCGTCTGCATCAGAATCAAGTATGCCGCATTCCAAACCAATTGCTTTCGCAGTTTGAAGATTGTCACGAGTAACCATGCGTACCTACAGCTCAAGATATGGGAAGTAAAATATTCAAGGTTGACCCAATTTCGGTGAACATTGCACTGATCATGTATTAAATTGAAGTGGATGCAGATGTAAAAATACCTTAACGCCATCCCTTTGGCATAGTTGCACCCACTCCTTGACCCCTGGTTGACAACGATCCTGCATTTCGTTGAGTACATAGGCTAAAAAAACTTATACAAATGAAATTAATTTTGTAAAGAAAATAATAAAGATCTACAATGGTACCCAAAAGCAAAAAGAAAGAGAATACGAGAAACCGTACCTCGTTCAAAGTCAATACAGTCTTGTCACATAGGATATTTTTAACAACGGCCATGGTTACACAAGCAAATGGCCTCCGTACCTACATTTTGAGTTCCATCCAGATATATGAAAAGGCAGCATAAAATGCAAAATAATTATAAGCAATTTCACATACAAATGCGTTATCTGCCACCATTCTTTTTGTTGCGCTGAAAATGCTGTGCCAGTCAAAGAGAAGGAAATTAAGGCAAAAAAGAAATGTTGTGAAGTCCAGAAAGATGAATACATATGACAAAAACTAAGGGAACAGCTGAATGTTAACGTTGGGCAGACTTACGTTAAGGTAACAGCTAAGGGAAGTCCTTGAGGTACAGCAGCCACTGCAATATTAAACTAAAATATCCGGATGTGAGGGTGAAATCAAAAGTATTCAATTAATTAATTACGCTAAATAAACATGGAGGAGGCATAGACACATACAGCAATGATTATAATTTGATTGACTTCTTCTATGACGTCTCGAGGTTTAGTCTTGACCCCGAATATCAAAACCAAATACATGAACCACCTGCACAAATGTTATTGTGATAATAACAATGATTGGTTGAATAATGGTGGTGTCATTTGGGACCGTGCGTCCGGGAAAATGGAAAAAAACAAAAACAAAAAACCCTAACATTCTAGGAAAGACGGACAATACGTAGGTCGGGACTAGTGAGGATCTCTACATCGTTACCATCCAACCTAGTGAGTATCTATGAATGAGAGTGATTTAATATTATTGATCCTTGTGATGGTAAGAATGTATCCAGCAAAGATTGAAGATTCTTTGAATAATTATTACCTGAGCAAAAGGACCATCATGACAATAAAAGCTGCTGCAAGTCCAACATTACCAATGGAAGTAGCAACCTCGTTCAAGACCTCCTATGAAGATTCAATTATGTATCCTTAAGATAATATCTACATACATACATATATATATATATATATATATATATATATTTATATATGTAGGAAATTAAATTGTGATTCTCTATGTACTAGTTGATGGGCTGACCTCCAATGTTGTTTTGTTACCAATGTCTTGTGAAAGTTCCGATTTAGTACATATCCCAACACTCGTAACCTGAAGGAACAATATATATGATGAAAGTTTCATTCCTTTTTCTGATTTTTTAAATTTATTTATGGTTTTTTATCACAAATGGTCCCAAAGGTTTATGAAATTATCATGAATGGTCCTTGAGGTTTGTTTTTGTAACATTAATAATCCTTAAGGAGGATTCGTGACAATTTCGTAAACCTGAAGGACTATTTGTGATTTAAAAAAAAAGCCTTTATTTATATAGGAGATGAAAAAGAACAAAAATACCAACACATATGTAATATATATATCAACTTTACCAGCATGGTGCCACTCCCATCCGCTATTTCCGAGCCAGGCTTTAAACGAGAGGCTCCAGAAGAAGCATGAAAGCTTACAATGTTGTTGTCTCCATTCACACGTGAGGTATCTATGGAGAGTGATTGAGCAGTGATTAAAATACCATAAGCAGGGACCTGTGGATATGCAATCAAAGTAACATAATTAATATATTTTGCAGATATGAAAAATATGGACTTGTGAATGGAGACAGCAACATTGCCACATACCTGGTCACCAATGTTAAGGGGAATAACATCGCCAACAACAATATCACATATTGAAACCTCAACTTGTTTACCACCTCTAACAACAACCTGCATAATTAGGTACGAGATCCAAATGTTTAAACAGTTAGGGCTCGTTTTTTGACTAAGATCGGATTGGATAGGAGGATAACTCCTTATATTTAAAGGTCCAATAGATATATTTATACGGTATTGAAACATGCATACCTTCATATTCCTCCCTTCCTCCTTTACATTGTGGATCAGAGATTGGCTGTATTTGCAAATTGCTGCAGGCCCAAAAGAAATTCAACACTTGACCCCAAAAGAAAAAAACAAAACAAAAAAGAGAGAGAGAGAGATGCAAACTACAAAATCCATAAATAATTAGACTTTATCTATACCGGTGTTCCCACATATACAATTTTTCTTTTCATTTATTCAAAATCTTGGCTTTTGTTTTCATTTAAGTTATTTGAAAATTTAACCTCAAGAGTTTTTGCTTTATATATGCACACGAGCTGCACATCACTTTTTGCTCTATTAGAATAGATGTGCAGAATTTCCTATTCTGTTTAAGTGGGAAAATCAGCTTCCTATTGTTTTTTCTATTTGGTTAAATGGAAATACACTCCTATTTGTATCACATCACACCAGGTTAACTACCTTTCACAATAATGTTCACCATAACCACAACGGCTACGTTACCTCCCTCTTCCCAGTATCCGAACCTTGTACCCTGCAATTAACATGACACAGAACCTCATAAATAAATTATTGTTGTCAAAACAACTAAAATATAATTAAAAACCCTGAGATTACCCAATTGATCAATTTGCATTCACTCCGAATTTTGGCTATTGTTGACAATTCATTCTAATGGGGAAAATGTTAGGTTCCTAAAAATTGAGGAGAAGCTCCTCCTTAAAACCAATGTGATTTTGATATTTAGCAAATTACTTTAATATTCTTTCTAATGGTCCGTCAGATTTCTAAGGATTCTACCTCTTTTTTTTTTTTTTAAATAAGGTTTTGATACTTTGATTGGAAGTTGACAAGAAGGGATCTAGTCCTATTCAAACCAATTACGATCTAGTCAACAAAAGAAAGATATACGTACAGACAGCCAATTGCAATTCTCTCTCATCTCTCCAATTCTACTCTATATCATATTTATCAAGCGGCCAATATAGTTACCAATATAGTTACGGGTGATTCATGTATTTGGTTTTGTAATTTTCCTTCTTCTTTACTTTTCACATAAACAAGAGTATCTGAGGATCCTCTAGGGTTTAGGATCCTCTCTGTAATAGTGATTTCTTGTCGAACCAAAAAAACAAAAAGAGCTAATTCCGATTTTTCTTTATATTAACATCCTACTGTCATGAAAATACTTGGAAGTATGGCCGATCGAGGCTCACCTTTGTCACTAGACCCATCACTGAAGAAGCCACTGCAACTACTATGAAAATGATCAGAGAAATATCTTGATGACATGCTTCCCAAAGACACGTCTACAAGACAAACAAAGTTGATGTGGTAAAATATAAACAGTAAGAGCACTTAATTAAAGGTGTATTAATTAAATCCATCCTTCTTTCAAATTTCACAATTGTAACGACACTAACCAAGAAGCTTTTTGATTTTTCCGCAGGATATGTGTTTGCTCCGAAAAAACTTTTCCGTTTCACCACATCAGCATCTTCCCCATTAATCCCGTCCTCTAAATTCGTTTTCAACAAGCATTCTAAGCCTTGAATCTGATGTAAAAGAAGGATATAATTAGTGACAGTTAATATCAACCATAAGATAAAAGATGATGTTATGTGTTGGACTTGCCCCCCCATATTGTTCCAGGCCACCAACATCATCATTCTTAGTTAAGGCAACAAGTTCCTCTCGTCCAATTCCAAAATCACCAGTAGTACTGGTTCGTATATCTGGAATATTCACTGACAACCAGAAGAAACAAGTCAATTACAAAACTAATAGCTAAGTATATAATTCTTATTTGGAGAAATTACTAGAATACTATCATCAATCATGTTAGAATATGAGTAGAGGACATCGTTGATATTTCCCACCCACACATGAACAACTTAGAGTTAGTTAAACAGCTGCTACGCTGTAATGCATCGTGTATAAGAGATCATGACTTTGTGTAATCAAATACTATTGAATGAAAATCAAGAATTGGTCATCTACTTCTTCTGAAATTCATCTTTGTTATCATTTGTGGTAGGCTCTCACGGCAACTAGTGCTAGGTTTTTGTTTTTCCCTTTAATTTTCAGTTTTTTATTTTTTTTATTTTGTTTTAATTAGCAGTGTTATGCTGATGTTAAGTTAATGGACATGTGTTAAGAAATTAGATACCGGACATAAAGAAGACACTTACTTTCCGGCCCTATTTCTTTTTACAAGTCAATCACAATTAGGCATACGTGTTCATTTCATTCTTAATAAGCAATCACACTCGTGTACATGTGCAAAATTATGATTGGCTTGAATGACATCTAATTAGATTCAAGGAGCCAAGCTAGCATTATTCTTTTGGATTTCGGTTATAATTAATCCGCATGGCATATAGATAAATTAGGCAAATATATAAATAAAAAGAATTGATTCTTGAAATGATTGAAGCACCAAGCTATACGCACAAAAAGAACGTATGTGACACACAAAAAGAACTAGTGAGTGAAACATCGAGCTACATGCAAAAAGAAGTTATGACAAATGAAAAGCGTGTTCAGCCTAATAAACGAAAAGAAGAAGAAAATATAATACGTCAATAGAAGACAACAAGAACATGTTAAGACACATTAATTTCACAACAATTACTCGTACAGCAGCATGTGCATGGACTTCGCTTGAAGCATGCTCTCCTTCCCTTTTCAACAAGCATAAGATATGCAAAAATGGACGAGAAGCACATAACAGAATCCTTGCTTGCTGCAAGGAAACAGAAATAGTTTAGAAAAAGCTCAAATAGAGAAGATTTCCTTCAACTAACAATAAGTAACATCCATGGGAGATTATCAAAGCTACACATCACAATTTTGGCAACCCGAAAACAAAACAACAGAACATCCTTTTTCAGCAAACCCTAAACTCCCCGATGCAGGGCGCAAAGAGGTAGACATTAACATAGCCATATACTTGGAGAGAGAAAGCAACATTACTAAAAACATAGTCCTTTATTATAAAAATATTAGTAAAATATATATAGGTACGTACCCTCCAACGGTTGATGCGCTGAATGGGAGCATCCTTATAAGTTCCGGCCTCCAAGTCGTTTTGTTGGTGAGAAGGCAAGACCGCCGGTGAGTTCATGTTCTTCTCGATCTTTATCTAATCTGTCATAAAGAGAAATGAATATAGCAGTTGTACTTGCACTCGCCCAGTAGAACTGTAATGTTTCGTTGATTTCTTCAAGTTTCAGCGTAGCTTTGGATTTGAGAGATCTGCTCAAGGATATGAAGTTGGCAAGGCTCTGGGGTTTTGTGTTATTTCTACGTGCCGTAGCTTTGAGCGTTGGTGGGACGCACCGCGCAAACCACCTCAGAATATTTTGAATACCACCTCAGCGTTGGTGGTATTCACCAAGCAAACCGCCCCATAATATTTTAATCAAAATGTCTTTTCGTGGCTATTTCCAACTCTAACTCCAACTTGGTCAAAGCCTTAATTAGACTGTTTTTACATCCCAGATTCCTAGAACTTTCGATTAAAAAAAAATGACTCTAGAATTTATGACATGGCAGGGGTATCTCGCGAGCTGGCCAAAACGTAATTGGTGATGTAAGATTGTGGAGCCCACATATTCTATAACCTCTCCACATGGTGGAATAAAAAATTTAAAAATATGAAAACCCAACCCCCCTCTCTTCGTACGCATTTGTGGTGGGAAAACTTTGCTATTTTCTGGGCTCTTTCTGCTCAGCATTCTCTTCAATGAACAACCCACCATTTATAGCGATGAAGACGAAGAAGATGCGGGTTCAGAATCAGTTCTCATCACCCCAACATGAACAAGATCATCATTTTCAACGTAAATCCTTCTTCACCCACCACCCGATCCGACGTCGTATTCATCCCCATCCCAATACCATCAGCACTGGTCACTATCGGAGCGCCGCAAATTGGGCAGTTCATGTGTGAACCCATCCATGCACAGTGCACTCCACATGAAAACAGTTACCACATTTGGGCAAATTCCTACCCACGATGTTGTCTTCAAATGGGCTCAAACAAATCTCACACACTCCATCTCCAATAACCCATTTTCGTAACTTCCCTCCTTCTCCTCTGTTTTGTACACGAACAGAGGAATTGCAGAGATGGCTTTCAAGTCGAGCCTTTTCCACGACGACGTAGAGCCCGGAAGGCTGTTAATGTTTGCTGAGGTTCCAAGTTCGGGCTGAGAACCCGAGAGACGGTCATGGAGCTGCGACGGCGCCTGTTGTGAGCTTAGGTCGGCGAGAGAGGAAGAGAAACGGGCGTGCGGGGTTGTTGTGGTGACGGCGACTGGGAAGGGTTTTCCAGCTAGGTACGAAGAGAGGGGGTTAGGTTTTCATATTTTTTATTTTTTAATTACAAATGCGCGCTATCCACAATTCCACATCCCAAACGAGATTACGGATATCACACTTAAAAGTGATTATATGAAGAAGTACCTAGGAGGTGCTTCTTTCCATAGGTGATTATAATCCTTCCAAAATCACTTCCAAATGAAATTTAAGACTACAAGTAACAATCACAATTAAGAACAAAAAGATATTCATGCATCATCAATTTTTCTATGCTAAACAAAATGTACAAAAGTATGGTACTATTCCATATGGTACAATTTTTCTTACTTATTTTTGTTAGTATCGTCTATAATAATAAATTTTTGTTTTGAATTTTATTAGGTCACTACAATATGTGTCAATCTGTGCCTCTTACTCACATTTTTTCAATTTTTTTTTAAATTTTTAAATATAATCTACGGCTGGTACAATTGCCCATGGACCATGGGACAGTATTGGGCCGAGATAAGGGCCTAGGCGTTCAAAGAAGCCCATGATAAAGAACATCAACTTTCTGTTTTTGTCTGCAAGATCCTCTCTTTCTTTTATTCCATAGTGATTAGTGATTCAAAGAAAGTTTGATTTTGTGAATAAAGTTATAAAAAAAAAAGTTCTTATTATTAATTTATTTATAATTTTAAATATTCTATATATTCGTTTGATCAACTTAATAAAATTTAAAAAAAAAATTAAAAATGTGAGTAAGAGGCACAGATTGACACACATATTGTAGTGACTTAAGAAAACCAAACTCACGGAGCCCACATGTAAATCAAAACTCAACTACATATAAGGCTGATTTTTCTGATGAAAAAAATTGATTCCATTCCACTTAAATGAAAACAAACAGAAAAGGGAAAACAGTAGATTTCTATTAATTCCAGAAATTAAATTACGTATGCAGATGGGAGACTAAGTGTTAGTTATCAAATTCACCAAAAAAGAAAATTCTGAGTTTAACCTTACTTTCCTTGAGCGTTTTCTTTGCAATCTCTCTTAACAAATTTCTCTTCTTTCCTTCTTCTGCTCTTCGGCAAACGTTGTCTCTCTTTCTTCTCCAACGAAGCCCTATTCCCTGTTTGATTTTCATGGCCAAAGAAACTGAAGCCAAGACTCCATGCATGCCCATTTAACACTCTCATTGCTCTTCTTCGGCTACCCATAAGAAAGCACTTCACATACATTAATCAACACCCAAACTCTCTTGTATTTAATTCCCATTAACTTGAAAACAAACAACAAAAGCAAAGGAATTAGAGAAACACCAGCTCTCTTCTCTACCCTCGTAGTTGCTTCCTTTCAGACCAAAATGGCCAGCTTTATTGGCTTAGAGAGCTTTTAAGTCTTGACTCGAGTCTTCTCCTCTAAAAGACAAATAGTCTAGCTGGATAAAAGGCGAACAACATCTACAATGGATAGCCTAAGTCATCTCCTTAGATAAATTTTAGGGAGTATTAGAAAAATACAACTCAAATCATATTTCCTATTCATTTTCTAAAATATGGAAACCTCCCTCATAATGACTCCTTATAATTTAATGCCTCTTTATTTTTGTTTTTGAATATTTTAAATTTTTAATTAATGCTATTTTTTTTTAGTACAAGGAATTGGGGAAGGAGGGTTTGCACAAATATTTATTGGGTGCATGGGGGTTTCTAATCTCTGCCCACATGAGTGTAGGTGGAAGAGTTCAATCAACTGAGCTATACCCTATTAACAATATGCTAGTTATTATATATATTTTTATAAAAATAAACTATTTATGTTGAATTAAAAAATCATTATAGTATTAGTATTTATAACTATTTAAACTAAGGAGTACAATCCTTTTGTGTACTCATTCGCAATCGGAGTTCAAATTTATAGAGAGTTAATAACTTTTGTATATGAAACATGAGGTAGATGAAAGTCTCCTATTTCGAAGCTTTTCCGTACACCAGAGCACTTTAATAATGCAATATTGTCGGCAAGAGGCAGCTGGGAAATATCACGTGTGTACGACCTTCCTCCTTTAACAGCCACTCACTGTATATTTATGTCTGGCACATAAAAAAGGGTGGATCTAAGAGCTACTCTCGTTGTTTGAAAGAACCAGACGCTGTTAGTATTGCTGCACGATGACAATGGTCCAGTTTGAAACGCTAATATACAAGTGGTTTAGCTAGGATAAATAGAAAAGACAACCAGTTTGAAACACTCACATATCACAATGAGGTAATAACATACATGACGTAGTCAACGGGGTCTAATATAGTGGAAAATGACCATGACTTGCATAACAGTGGTCTTAAGTTCGAAACTCCATAATATACCTTGGCAATTAATACAGTGAGAGAGCATAAAAATCTCTTAAGAAGGGTCAACCTTAAATAAGTCTAAGATGATTACACTAAACTTAACTTTTACTATACTTAAGAATTCATTACACTTAACTTTTAATATTACAAATTTGATATCTTATGATTTAATTGTTATCATTCCAAAATCATAATACTAAGTATAACCCAAGTTTTATTATGGTAAAAAGATTGAAAAATTCAACCAAGAAAAAGAGTATATAAAAATTGATTTTAGCGGATAGAATGACAAAATCAAATAAAATCAAGGCATGCACAGGTCAATATAGTATATATGAAGACATGAAAACAAGTAAGTTGTTAATCATTATGTTTCCATTGATCCTAGAGATTCTGATTCTCAATTATATTCAAGCGGTGTCTTTAAGGGGAAGTTGTGGAACAAGCCTCAATCATGGTGTTACCGATGTTGGTTCTGGGGTCATTATGGGATCAAGTATTGGTTAGTGGGGGCAAAGAAATAAGAATGCAAAGTTTGAATTATACCTTCAAAATCGAAGCCTACAGCCTACTGTGTTAGTCAATTCTGCATATAAAACAATCTTAAACAATCTTGATGTATGACATTTACAAACGGGTTTTAAGTGATGCGGAAAATGCTTAAGAAGAGCTCAACTTTTTCTCCTAACTTCTTCTTTATTTTTTAAACCTAATTATATGGCACTTAATTTGTACACTACAGCCAAATAAAAGAACAAACAAACTATAGCCAGCACAAAAGCAAAAGAACAATTCCCAAATTTTGTAAAAGCATTGCCAAACTACAAGAGACAGATAATTTAAAAAGGTATGGAACTACAGTTTAATAAATTCTGCATATAAAACAAAGTATTAGCAATTGGTATGAAAAAAATATTTAGGGTCCATAATCACATGAGGACAAATGGTTTTGCAGTAAATTATCGTGACATCAAATTGAATTAATAGTCATATGAGCCAACCTGACGGATTCACATCAGAACATTTGCTTGGGCACGAAGATTGCAAACCAACTTTTGGGGCACGATGATAGCAAGGCCATCGATCTATTCTCTATATTAACTGTGAAGAAGTGTACCATTTCAGTGCATACCAACTCTTCAATTCATTTACTTTTATCAAATCTAGCTGCTTCCAGTGTCAACTGCCATGGAGTTTATTAACCAGTACTACTGCAAATGTATCTGTTTGGCCTTGATCTTCATGTTGGGGGCTTGGTCTTCTCAAGCCACTTCTCGCAATCTCCAAGATGCATCAATGTATGGAAAATACGAACAATGGATGGCTCGCTACGGACGTGTATATACCGACATTCAAGAGAAAGATATGCGTTTCAAGATATTCAAGGAAAATGTGGCATTCATACAATCATCCAATAGCGATGCAAACAAACCTTATAAATTGAGCGTCAATCAATTTGCAGACCTTACAAATGAAGAATTCAAAGCCTCTAGAAATGGATTCTTGGGGCATGAATGCTCCACAAAGACAACTACTTTCAAATATGAAAATGTTACAGCCCCACCTACTGTAGATTGGAGAACAAAAGGAGCTGTGACGCCTATCAAAGACCAAGGCCAATGTGGTAATTTTCATCTAGATATCTCAAACACTACTTTCCTTTTGAAAATTAATTCAATCATATTGTTATTAATCTAATTGGTTTTTAATTGCAATTAAAAAAAAAAAATTGTAGGATGTTGTTGGGCTTTTTCAGCAGTGGCAGCCATGGAAGGAATTACTAAGCTTACAACTGGTAACCTAATCTCTTTATCTGAGCAAGAGTTGGTTGATTGTGACACCAAAGGTGTAGACCAAGGTTGTGAGGGTGGCTTGATGGACGATGCATTTCAATTCATCAATCAAAATCATGGGCTTAGTACCGAGACAAATTACCCCTACACAGGTGTTGATGGTACTTGCAACACCAAGAAGGAGGCTAGCCATGCTGCCAAGATAACTGGCCACGAAGATGTGCCTGCAAACAGTGAAGTTGCCCTCCTTAAGGCCGTTGCTAATCAACCTATTTCAGTTGCCATTGACGCTGGAGGTTCTGATTTTCAATTCTATTCAAGTGGTGTCTTCACAGGAGCTTGTGGAACAAGTCTTGATCACGGTGTTACCGCTGTTGGTTATGGAGTCAGTGCTGATGGGACCAAGTATTGGTTGGTGAAGAACTCATGGGGAACAGAATGGGGTGAAAAAGGATACATAAGAATGCAAAGAGGTATTGAGGCAAAGGAAGGTCTTTGTGGCATTGCTATGGAAGCCTCTTACCCCACTGCATAGTTTGAATTATACCCTCAAAATCAATATGCCTACTGTATAAACCTTGTAGGTATACTATATATCATGATATGTACGTACATGATGAACTTGTACCCTTAACAAAACTATCTAGTTTTATAATTACCAAAATGAAGAACTTATTCAACTTGTTTGAGTTGAATTATCCAGTAATGTCTAAATTTTACCACTTGCTTGTGTAAACTTCAAAAATAGGCCAAATCAAAGACTTAGAATATAAAGCCCTCCTCTACTATAGTTTGTGTTGCATTTATTTATTTATTTATATAATAATGAATTTAAATTCAGAAAAGATAAAGTTGCAAGTAATGTAATACTAACTAGACTATGTGCTTCTTCCATATTTTTATAATAAAAATGCTTTTGTTAAAAACGCTTATTCGTAGAAATACTCCTAAAGAAGGAGTACCAAACGAAACGAGCCCTAAAAGATAATTGATTACCTCATGTTACACTTTATTTCTTTATGTTTTCATTTAGCACTTAATTACAATCGATTATTAACTATAGAAACAATTGAACACAATATCTAATCGAAACTAAAGGGAACAAACGACCAAATGGGTACCTTTTGGGACACTTATTCAAAATAAAATAACTCAAAGCACAACCACCGAAGCACCTGGCTGAGCTCGCGGAGCTTTCTAAGCCATGGACATGAAGATGACTGTGATGAATGTGGTAACTCTCCAACCCAACCCTCTTCGACCCAAAAGCCCTTACCTTCTTCCAAACCCAAGAAGAGTCTTCAACTTCAAGACCTCCTCTCTCCACAACCCTCAAGTCTCATCAATCGGAGCTCCAACTCTGGTGGATCAATTCTACCCAACAATCCCCATAGAGCGAGCCGTAACCCCAGCTCAAGGTACACCGATCCTTCCTTTTACTCTCTCGATCTAGACACCCTCTTCTACAGTGGATGGCAGGCCGCAGGTCAGCTTCTATTTAATTTACTTGTTAAAACGGCAGGAAAATG